GGAACATCGGATTATTTTGAAGATTCCATGCCTTGGGTAATTAGTTTTCCTCAATCAATCTAAAAAGTTTTTCAGCGCTTCGGCGTTGCCGCATCTATCAAAAAGTAGGAACAACTTTGTTATATTTCCAATATAACACCCTGAATATTACCTATTTATATTATTGCATTTTCAGATTCTTCCTGAAGAGCTGATTTCATCGGTCTAACAGAAATGATAACAGGGATATATATAGGGTGTGAAAAAATTGGATTTTTTCTACTTTGAACATTTTTTGTGTTGAAACTATTCATTATTGGTTTGAACAGCTTTCCTCATAACTTTCCATTTACCATCAATTGATATTTAATTGAAGCACATAAAAGGTGATCAGACTTCAAAATTTATTATAACCACTTTATTTGTTTCAATGAAATGTCAGTAGATAGTAGATCAAAAAGTTGAGAATAGAGACATGGAAACCGTTTTTACCAATAATTAATAGTTTTCGACACATAAAATTACTAAATTTGAAATATTTCGATTTTTCATACCGTATATATACACTCACCGGCAAAAAAAACCGACCACCAAAAAATTTTGCCAAATTGTTCGCCATGTATCTTTTTAATTCTTGTCCGATTTAGCAGGAATTTCGACAAAATCGTATGCATTCATGTTTCGGAATGTTAGCCTGACTATTAGATCCTCAGAGAAAAGCTGATGACTTGATCATTATACAGGGAAAAACAAAAGTTACTCATTCATCCCTATCTTATCTTATCGTCCTCTGTGGCAAAGGTAAGTGGTTAAACTCAGCTTCACCATGTTTTCGATTGAAATGTGATGATATCCTTCTTAACAGTATGACTTTTGATTCACGTCGAGGAAAGATACAAGTGTTTTAAGAAAGCATGCATTTTTTAAATATTAACAATAATTGAGAACCATCCTCCCACCTTTTGCTTAATCATGTTTTGAATTGAAGTGTGACCCTTTTCCGTCTTCTCAACACATAATGGCACCGAACATAAATGATTCTAGATTCACGTCAATATCTCATTTTTATGAGAAGATACAAGTGTTTTGAGACAGTATGGATTTTTTTTATCAACAATAATTCAGAACCTATAGAGCATCTTATAGGGATGAACTCCAGAGGCTCATTCGCCTTCGCCCGGCCTTGTCAGACTCTTCTAGAGCTACGATTCGCCTTTCAATAAGAATATAAGCCAAATTCTTCCAGTCATCTTGAGAAATTTGCACACAATGCCACGGCGGTTGACTGCTGAGTATTTCAAACTCGAGGAGGGCATATTCGCCGGTATTGATGACTATACCTACAGATCTGCATTTTGTTCGTTTTTTGTAATTGAGGTTTATTCCCGTAAGTGCTGAGAGGATGAGGTAGAAATAAATGATATTAATTCTTTAAGTTGTTGATTAATAACCGATTACCTATATATTGTTGATATCAATTGAAAAATGTAACACTTTCTTGAAGCACTCATATCTCCTCTTGAAAATAAGATATTGACGTGAATAGAAAACATTATCTTGAGAAGGGTACGGGATCCACACTTCAATCCAAATCCTAATGAAGCCAAGTTCACCCTTTCAATTTCGCTACCGTTAAGAAGTGAAGTAGTTACTTTGGTTGTTCTCTGTATAATAATCAAGTCATCAGCTTTTCACAGAAACCTCGACAGAAACTATCATATTCAGACTAACATTCCGGAACATAAATCTACGATTTGATCGAAATTTCACAAGAATCGAACAAGGATTAAAAAAGTTACAGGGTCAACAAATCACGTCATATAAAGTACCAATCACCAATAGGGTGTACGTCACAGTGACGTGACCATTCGTCATCTGGTTGCCCTGATACATGATGAAAATACATTTATCCACCTTTCCCTGATACAATAATGAACTCAATGGTGTTTATACCGGGTGGCTACGGAAGTTGCCTACGGAATATCTCAGTTATTGTATGAAGTAGGTTTGTGGAATTTGGAGCGTCGATTTAATGACATAAGAGCTAGAATTTGAGCATATTGACATGTCGAAGTTAACTTCCGGTCTGACCGGAAGTAACATCAACTTTCTTATTTTAAATGGAAACCCTATTTTTTTTTCTTTTCGCTTTATTCAGCATTCAATTCCCTTTCTAATGACATATCACAAGTTGGTATCTAACCAGAAACTAGATCAGAAAAAAAATTATTATTGAAATTCACCGAGTAGGCCGTGGAAGCAAAATGAAAGACAAAAAAAGACTTTCTATTATATCATTAGAAAGGAATGGTTATGCTGAATAGTAGAGGCAAGAAAAAGTTGTATGTTCCTATTTAAGTTATGGACCTACAGAGTATTGTTTTTTCCCTAATTTTTCCAATATTTTTTTAGGCGGCATTTTATAACGCCGACGAATGAAAATAAAATATCACAGTAGTAGCAACTGTTATCAAGTGACGTATGGTTTCCATAGCCAACTTTCCAATTTTTGGCTTTCATTTTGCTTCCACGGCCTACTCGGTGAATTTATATAATAATTTTTTTCTGATCTAGTTTCTGGTTAAATATCAACTTGTGATATGTCATTAGAAAGGGAATTGAATGCTGAATAAAGCGAAAAGAATTTCACGAACCTACTTCATACAATAACTGAGATATTCCGTAGGCAATACTTCCGTAGCCACCCGGTATATTGAGTTCATTGCCTGGGTAGTGACTCCCTGATAGGGAAATAATCCCAAACCTATGGAGTCATTCATCATATTTCGCTAAGAACTTTGATACGAAGTCAATTGAGTCACAGAAAATTCGTCTAGCTTATCGGAGAATCATAAATTGTTGTCTTCTGTTGATATTAATAATTCATTGATATGGTATACTCATAAGTAATACGCACATATAGGTACCTACTCATAATTTAACTAGACACGAAATAGCTCAGTCTGAGAGATCCTGGCATCGAATTTTTTTTTTCATTTTAGGGGTGATGGTATATATACCAGACATCTGTCTGGCAGCCGGCCACTGTGTCCTAATGATGGCGAACCAGCGTCGTTGGCCACTGTTTTGCAGTAACGGTAACTTCTGGTGAGCTGGTATATATGGGGCTAGTAAAAAGCCAACCGGAATTGTTTGCTGGGATACCTATATCTGATGAGTCGATGTTGATTTTCGTTATATAAAAAAAAACAATAACTTAATACATATATATTTTTATTTATAAAATCAAGACATACATTTATAAAAAAACTTAAGTAATATTGCGTATATCATCATCATTGAATCACTTATCTTAAGAACCTAATGAAGAAATGGTGGTCAATGAAGATAAGTCGTTGGTTATAGTATTCTTACACTCATCTTTAAGTATGGATACAGAGAGCTATCTCGAATGATAAGACTAAAAACTACTCTAATATCAGTTGAAATGAAGTTACACATCTTTGATATACAATTTATGCACAATAAATGATAAGGTTTTCCAAATTAAAATAATATCATATAATTAGATCAGTACCTTGTGGAAAATTATTCAGAATAAACATAATTCTATAAAACCCGAGCTGAAAAATTGTACCTCAAAAGTAATTTTGATTTTCGCCACTTTTTCAAAATGGTTGTGTAGAAAATTAAGAAATATTTGTAAAGCATTAGTCAGGTACCTTTAAATCTCAAGTGAGTTTGAAAACATACCCACACAATTGATAAATTTATATATCAAAATAATTTAAAGTCCTAACCACACACAATAAACCAGATGAGTCAGAACTTCAAGAGATTGATTGAACAACCACTTTGGATCAACTATTTTTCCATAATAATAGTTGGTATTTCAATTTTCTCAATATGGCCTAGTATTTGATCTTACACGATATAATTATTATATAAGTTGTTCTAGTAATTTGTTCAACTATATTTTTTTTATAACGGGAAAAATACAAAATAACAAGGATAATAAGATTTTGCCAGATAATGAAAACTTTCACATTCACTATTCCATTCATCAAATAAATGCTTGTATTATTTCACAGTGCATATGTGTAAAGCACTTCCATAATAATTACATACATATGAATTCTGAGTATTAATTAAAATCAATCACGTTTTTTTTGGCAGGTATTAGAGGAAAGAAGAGGAGCTACATGTACCAAAGCGTTTCTGGAAATCAGTTGTAGGCTATGTATGCTCACTATATATAGTATAATTATTCAAATAATTTAAGTAGGTAGGTACCTTATTAATTCATTCAGGGAAAATAGTTATACAAGATATTCCTCTACTTTCCCCTAATGAAGCGATTCTTTGAAACCCATACTCATTCAGAGAATTGTTTTAGATACAAAAATTATGCTAGAATTGAATATTTTGTACAAATCTGAAAAATTCGTTGAGATATATAAAAGGTTATCCACTAGTATAATATGTAAAAAGGGATTATACCTTCCTCTGTTGAATTTCCTCATTAATTTTTGGGAGCAAATCTGTATCACAACACTCGGTGTGTATACCTCAAGTCATGGCTGGTCAATATTTACACATCTAAAGCTATTTACAATGAAAGAGAACTAGTGGTTCTGTACATTAATGTATTCAGATCATTTACATGCTCCAATTTTGAGATCAATGGTGACCAAGTTCATATAGTTATTTATAAAAAATATAAATTGATGTCAATCTTAAAGTCTATCTTATAAAAATATCTAAATTCTCAGAAACAAAACATTGCCACCATGTATATAAACTTTATAACATTAAAGTTACATTGGATGTTAATGATCACATTCATATTTCACAAATATAAACGTGATCATATACTTGATAAAAATAAAAAACAAAGAACTAACAATAACTTAGTTTGATTATAAATGATTGAAAAAATCCTCGTAAAATCAACATTCTAGACACTATAAACAAATAATAAAGTTCTAATCAACATCGCTCCTAAAATTACATATCGTTTAAAAACAAATCACAACAACTGTTAAGTACGCTAGAGAATATCAGTGGTCCATGAGTTCCACGAAAGTAATGTCGAATAGATCCTCATCTACTGCTTTCAGTTCTAATAGAAATAGGTCTTCGTTGCAATAGTATGCTACCATGTCATCATCAATCTTGGCTATAATGCTGCAAGAAGAAAAATACATAAGGAACCTGCTCTAATGAAATTCATTCATCATTTCGGAATAATCGTATGGAATGATAAGCACATCAGTAGGTGCCACAATAATTTCAATGTAGATATTGTGCATACTTTCCGAAATGTAGGATTAGCTTGCTTGCTCGCAATTCAAGAAAATTATATTAATTATATTCCACCAAAACATATTTTTTGGTATCATAATACATATAATGAAAATTTGGTTATTATATTGCACTACATACTTCTTCTAATTGGAAATGAAACATTGAGAATTCTAATTCATGATGCACTTTTCCTTTGAGTATATAATCGTCAAACTAAATTTGAAATACTGATAGGAGCCAATAATGCCACAGTAGGTCCCTAATACTGACTGGAAATTTCGGGAGAGCGGTCCCAGTTGAACAGAGGTTTATACGAGTGTGATATGACTCAATGAAACACGAACAAGATGAGATAGACTGATCAATTTTGAATATTTCTTGACATATCTAAACATTTTCAGAACATCGTGAATTGCTATAATAAAACAGTTACGAACAGTTGAGCAACTTGCAGTTTCTCCTAGTCCAGTTATAGCAGATATAAAAATAACAATAATTGTAATGAATATAGGGTTCATGAAGTTAGTAAAATTCGAACTGTTAGTGTTTCACCAAGTTAGCATCCAGTTCACTCTTCACAACTACCTACTCCAATCTATATTGTCAAAAAATCTAACTTACCCTTTTCTGTTTTTGCGATACATGTTATTTATGCTTGAAGCGCTAATTTTGTACTTATTCTCAATCTGCAAAATAAGGAAAACAGAATTAATTTTGCCAATTACTACAAGAACATGAATTTCTGTCTTTCTTCATTTTAGCATAGATTTAGAAGAAGTACTGAGCTTTTTTTGTTAATTGAATAACTGGAAAATGTACGTGGAGCTGCAAAAGTGAACTGATCCCACGTTGGTGATAAAATATGATGTTAATCCAACATGCCATTTTAGTTTTAGTGTTACACAACCGATCATGAGACATATAAAAGCCCAGTACATCCAGGTCCATGCATATTAGGCACAGGGCTTCCAGTAAAAATAAAATAAACCTTTATGTGCCAAATAAAATTATAATATATATATAAAAGTCACACTACTGGTGTGCCAGAGAGAGATGGCTCGCCTGTATAATTTCAGTATTCTCAGACATTAAACTTGAGGTGTGAATTGCATTTTCAGACAGATCTGAAAACTATATTTTCTTCCAACTTCTGGTGCAACCGGAAACGACGTTAAATTCATATTTTCAAATGAGACTGTACAATGTTCATTTTATGATTATTACTTATTACATTCTAAATTCAAATATGGGACGTTATTAACCAACACGGAGAAATATTTCTCCAGGAAATCTATCACCAAGATAACAAAATAAACATTTTAAATAATTCAAGCATATCCACATTCAACAATAATTATTTTCGACTCCTTAAAATATGGCAAATGATACATCGTTTCTTTCAGAATCTCATTCGGAGTAAGAAAGAAATGAAAAACACATAGGGTGTCCAATTTTAAAATCGAAAGTTGGTTTCGTTTCCAGATAAACCCGGAATTGAAGAAAGTTGTGACAATGACAGTCAAGAAATGCAATTTTATATATCTTCAATAGGAAAATTTTACATTATTCAAAAACTAAGAAGTTGAAGGGGCGAGCCACCTGTCTCAGACACACCCGGTATACTATATTTGAAGGTTATAATTGTTTATCAACACTACTATCAACAAAACTTAAGTATGTATATGTGAATGTTATTGTTAATTGGCAATATTGGCATATGCAGAAGGTATGGAATTTTTTAAATGATTATTCTATATTTCTAGAAATGCTCACACAATAGGTACCTATACAGGATTGAATCACTACTTTGAAAATTTGTGAAAACAACTAATTTCTTGAAAACTAAGGTGAAACTATAATATGACATGATTTAACTTTTGAAAAAAATATATGAATCATTGAAATCATCAATTTGAAAGTAACTAAGCTCATTTACAAGCTATCCAAGAAGAATGGTCTTAATTGATATTTTTCAACTTTGAACACCAAAATTAAACGTACAGGTTGATTAGCAAATGTGGACGCTTTGTTCCAATATTCTCATTTAAAGTATGAGAAACAAGCTAAAATCAATAGTTGAAGGTGTTAATCTGTATAGGTCACATTTTGAATCTTGTTACTACAATAAGAACCTATACAGTAGGCTTTGAATGATGATCCATAACCATTTTTTGTTTCAATTCTTCGTCACCACTATTGTTTGGCTTTTTTGTTAGTATGGTATAATGGTAATGAATAATTAATGTTGTCTTTACAGATATCATTCAAAGCATATACAGAGCTACAACAATAAAACAATGATTTACGCAAAAATACAAAAATAAATAGGATAATGTGCTTCCTTTGAAAAATCGCATTCCTTCTTAGAGAGAGTAGAGAGGTTATACGACCCTTTGTATTCAATTGGTTTCATCCACAAGGGACAAAAACAATAATAATCATTACTGCCACCTTTCATTGACTCAAATAATAACCGAACATATTACCATATTGCACTATTAGTACAATTTCACATTTATTTGGTTTATCTATTTCTTGTCTGGAAACCCAAGCATATGAAGCTAAGCATCAAAACAAGGAGGACTGACCACTCACCGCATTCAATAGTCCTACAGTGGTCGGTGGCACAACGTGCAAAGGCGTGTAAACGTCCTCATTCTCCTGACGGACATACAACATGACCCTCTCGTTCAGAGGGGGAGGCCCTACGCTACCAGGGCCGCCGCTCATCAGTTTGGTCCTCTTCATGGGAGGCGAGAAGACGTTGCTGTCTGAGGATAAGCTGGCGTCCAGGATGTTGCTCTCTTTCTTCTCCGCCTCAGGAGGGAAATGGTTGTGGAACTTGAGGGTGGGGGTAGTCGGGGGTTTGGAGGCCGTGTGCAGGAGGAAAGGCGAGGCCGTCTTCACGTGGTCCACTGGACCGCTCAGCGACCCGTCTTCGTGGGAGTAGAAGCCTTGGAGTTCCATCGAGGTTAGCTGAAAAGAATATATGCCGGACTTAAATTTTCATTGATGATCCACAATTTCAATATGTTAGGGACAATCTGGGAGTTCAATCCAGAAATGACTACGAATTCATCATAAAAACCATAGTGGAAGGAGAAGATGATGTGCCTACGCGCTTATTATGTGACGTCGTCGTCTGGGATACCAATATCAGCTGCTAGTCAAAGACAGATATATTTGCCATTGGCATGCACTATGAATTCAAATAAGTTTATTGAAAGTTCTATGAGTTTCTCGATCTGTCTAGAAAAAATTGAATTCATATAAATAGGTACTTATTCCTCCGATTTTTCTATTCCAGTGATTCAGGAATTTGTGATCATCCGGTAAATCGAAATCGCAAATAACAAATACATAAGATTCATCATGCACTGCCAATTCCATCGAATGATCCAACACTGTGTCGATTCTGACAGATTAAAATTCAGTGAATGAATAGTGGGTAAATTGGGCCTCCTGATTCCGAATATGAAGTGATTTTCGACATATTTTGACTCCTAATATCATTTTCCGGAAATTGGGGTGGTTCCATGGCTGTTGGCGAGCAGTGTATATCACTGAAGATGACCCCACTTGGTCATAGAGTGCATTTTTGGTATATCTCTCGCTCCAGCAAATTTCAGGATCCTCACCCAACGATTACGAAAGATACAGGGGTGTTTCCATTAGAAGTGGGTCACACTGTATATGGATCTGTTCATGGTTATCGCATGTTGTTCCACGAAGATGATATTGGGAATAGGGATTCCCTCTCGTGCGAACCAAAAGATAAAATCATGGTTGGCTTAGTATAAGTGAACAAAGTGGCTTGAACGTACCTTGTCAATGTCTTCGGCAGGAGAAAACAGAACCGGCGGTTTCGCCAGGTCGCTCATCGTATAGAATTCGGACCGTTCGCATACGGGGTGATACAGCTCGTCCAGCTTTTTCCTGCCCGTCGCCGTCATCTTCCGTTTGGCCGCCCGCCTTTCTTCGTCCCGCGTCTTCCTCTCGGCGCCCTTGTCGCAAAATACCTTGATTTGGCAGTACGCCCTGTGGTAGATGTTGGTGTCTCTCGGATCTTCGTACGTGTCGATTTGCAGGTGAAGGGGCAGGCCTTTCACCCCTTTCTGACTACTGAAATCGGTGCTCAGACACTGGACGGCTATGTTGATCTGGAAAGAAGTTGATGATGATTTGCGTTCTGATTGTTTACACATCAGGGTGGCCCGGAAACATACCGGCAAAAATTCATCAAACTGGAATTTTCTCGCCAGAGCGAGGCTTAAAAAACGTTACTTGCCGAGGAGATTAGGATGAGTCGTCACAGGCCCGCCCTAGCAAGCATAGCGTCAGTGTTTATTCTGACGTTCTTACAATGAGAGATTGATTAATAATCAGCAACCCACCCTACTTATACAGGGTGTCCAGAGATGAAATCGACAAAACTTATGGGGTTAAATAAGAGCCTGCCAATATGAGTGATTTGTGGATTCTGACAGATAATTCAAACTGTCATATTGGATACAGGGATTACCCGATTGGGTTCTAATTTGGTACATAAACTGAACTCAAAGGCTTCAACAAGTGGTGAAACCTTAGCCGTGGCACTTGATATCTCCAAGGCATTCGATCGAGTCTGGCACCACGGACTCCTCGCCAAGCTTTCATCTTATAGCTTGCCTTCCCAGCTATGTTCTCTGCTTGCTAGTTTTCTCTCAAACAGGTCTCTCCATGTAGTGGTCGACGGAGTTTCATCTGACTCTCTCATCATAAATGCTGGTGTTCCGCAAGGATCAATTCTAGCACCAACACTATTTCTACTCCATATCAACGATTTGTTGGAAGCAACTTCATGTCCAGTACACAATTCTGGAATGGGGATCCAATAACTTGGTAGATTTCAATGCACACAAAACACAAGCATGCCTTTTCTCTAGAAAAGCCGATCTCACTGTGCCCAACATGAGCTTGTCAGAAGTAACCATGCCTTTGAAGACATCCATTTCGATGCTTGGAATTACTATCAGCAATAACCTTTCTTGGGAAAATCACGTGAGATCAATTGCTAAAAGTGCATCTATGACAGACATATAAGGCACAGATCCGACCTGTCCTGGAATACTGTTCCCATATTTGGAGTGCAGCACCCAAACATACCCTGAAACTATTGGATTCTGTCCAAAAAAGGACAATTCGTCTCGTGGGTGATGCCTCGCACACTTCTCTGGGACACCGTAGAAAAGTTGGCGATCTGGCTCTATTTTATAGATTTTTTCATGGACGATGCTCTTCTGAAATATCAACAATTGTTCCTCCTTTGGCAGTCCCCGCGAGATTAACTCGTCGAGTTGATGCTTCGCTTCGTGGTCACTTTGAAGACCTGCAAAACATCTCTTTCCAAAGACTCGTTCATCCAACGAACAGCGAGGCTCTGGAACACATTGCCAAGGAAGGTGTTCCCCACGGCATATAACCTCCAGAAATTTAAGAAGAACACCAATTCCTACCTTATTTCCCTTGGTTCTCACGATGTTCTCTGAAAATTACAGGATATCCCTTTTCGTGGGAACCAGAACATGAAGAAGAAAAAAAGCCCTTTGAACGAAACCAATATCAGGACCGGAATTTCATTTTTTCCTATGTTGAGTTATTATTATCTCTGGACATCCTATATACGAAATTCATTTATCTGATAGATACTTTTGTACCTGAATTTGAGAATTAGGTAATGAAGCCATAATCATACACCATCTGGACATCAACTGGTGGTAGGTGGTAGGTATACCCTCTTCCAAATTCTACTAGTATATATATCAACGCAAAAGTGCATCATAACTCAAGAAAGAAACAAACAGATGGAATACATAGATTTGGCATGAATCAACTGATATCGCGTTCGATGCGGGCTGACCTGTGACGTTTAGATATACATAATCGATTTTCATTGGTCGATTTTGAAGCCGCTATCCATTATATTCATTTCATTTCTTCGCAGATCGATCACATTGGTGTTTCATTCGTGAGTTTAGCGTACAAAAATAGATCATATATTTTTCGAAACTCCCTATGTAACGTTTCATACAGCAGGTGGTGATTGATTTATTACATTTGTGACTTCGATTTCATCATCACATAGAAGACCTGGGTCTTTAAGTAGGAACATCAAGACTTTGAAAAGGCCATTTATATTTGACAACAAAAGTTTTCACGTAATTAAAGCGTAAAAATTCTTCAATCAAAACTATACTCATTCGCTATCCTCGTTAGAATTTTTGTACAATACCTATTCTAATGTGTCTCAATGTTGATTCTGAGCTCTGGGATTGTTATAAATTGTCTCCCAATTCGATGGATATATAGGGTGTATCCGGACACAAGGATATTTCGTATATGTGTACTTATTCGGTATTATCTATATTGTGATAGTATGGTAAATTACTTACTTTCGCTGGACTTTCCATAGGGTTCCAGTATATTGCGATGGCATTGTGAGAAATTTCTTCAATACAACCTACTAAACCTACACTATTCTTTGTATCTGCAAAAAAAAAAGTGGGATTAGAAACCATGGAGCCTGTTTGACTATCATTAGTAGGTATCAATGAAAAACAAAAACCTGTATATAAAAGCAAAATAACAATGTTACGTTGTCACAGTTATCAGCTAAATAATAATAATAATAAAAATATCTAGTGGTATAATCAAGCATGAAATAAAAGGTTTAATGCTAGCCAAGTACATAAATCGTGGAGAAAGAGTATCAAATGGGCCCGGCTCTTGTCGTTTCAAGCTCGGTATACATGCGAATTTTGAGAAAATTCAATTTTTTTATTCGAATAATCGGAGAATATTAATTCGAGGTTCACGATTCATCAGTTTTGTCTCTAACTTTTTCGCAATTCGCTCAATTATATTTACTGTGGCATAACAAAAAAAAACAAAACAATGTGCTATTTTGAGTTAATGTTTCTCACACAAACACTGATATCAACAGACTTACCCATCCATTGGATGACATTCATTCGACTGGCATGAAAAGAACACATTGTACAATTATTATTAGGCAAATAACTGTCGTGATATTTATTTATCGTCATGAATTTTTTGTCAAATGTCATTATATATAACCCCCCACACAAACTGAAGAACAAAATAATAGAATCGATGCTGCCTACGCAAAACCCACGCTCTACAGAGCAAATATGTATTTGAAAATGTTAAGAGTACCCACATTTATGTTATAGTTCTTTATTACCACTAATATCAAGCCTACAATTATACACGAATACGATTTGCTGGTACAGGGTGATTGAACTAGACATAGATTTATTATACAGGGTACTCCAACTCTCTTTAGACCGGCATTTTCTCGGAGAAAGTGTTGAAAAACATTAGAAGAGGCATTTTCTATCAGAGGAATATAACTTCTTCCAAAATCACTAAGAAATCACCTCGACTGTATTTTCAAATTGCACCACTGTATTTTTCCAGATGTAAATGATACTTTACTCTTCTGTATATGTAGTGGAAGTAATGGATTTGTTGTAGGGAACTAACTACACCTATATGTCAATGAACTTTGAAGATTGACGTGTATTCTAAACAACACTAATAATTTTGGGTTTCATTGTATGTTCTCATTTTGAATTTTCTATTTGTGAAAATTATGCAGAACATTTTTATTGAATACGGTGACTCATCATGGCTTTGTAAAATACTGAAAAAAATTAGTGATGCGATGCAATTGGGAAATTACAGTTACAGTCAGAGTTGGTTCATGAAGGGTATATTTTATAAAGGCATATTTGGTTCAATCGCCATATTTTGGTCCAAACACTCTGCTCTTAGCCTGTGCCAATAGTTATAATTCACCCTGTATACGAAAATTCCTTGTTATCGTCAAAAAGGTCACATTATATAGGTAATGCAAAGTACGAAGTTACAGATTGTTGCTCAAATCATCAAAAATTGCCGAATTCCTTTTCAAAAACAATCTAGCTAGACCATCAGGGTAAAATATCACAATGACTCCCAATTCATACACATTTCTGTCTCGTATCCAACAGAAAAAAAAAGTTCTCGCTAATTTTAAAAAATTGACAAATTCCTCATTAAAAACCATCTAGATCGACATCAAATGTCACGAGGATTTCCAATTTAGTCAGATTTGTGTTTCTTTTCCAACGGGTGAAAGAGTTACTGTTTTTTTCCGCCGATTTTCAAGAATTGTTGTATGTCTGATGAAAAAATACCTAGATCGACGAAAACTGTCACGAATATTCCGAATTTATAGACATTGGTGTCTCTAATGAAACGGATAAAAACGTTATAAACTGATTTCCTTGCCAATTTTGAAAGTTAATTTATCATTGAAACCATGCATCTGAATCGACGTAAAATATCACGAAGACTCCGAATCTACACACATTTGTGTCTGTAATCCAACGGATAACATAGTTTTTGATTTATCCGCAAATTCTCAAATCTTGTTGGATTTATCACGGATAGGTACCTATATCAAATTAGATATTCATAGTCGAATATAATACTATAATCATGAGTAGCTATAAGTCTATCCAAAGTCAGTATGGTCAGTTGTACAATGAATTGACGCCGTTCATCAAGCAGGGCGTGGAAAAAATGTTGAATTGAAAAAACCCAATCTGTGAAGGACTGCCACTTGCACAGACTCCAAACGAACTTCAAAGAAGCGAAACCGCTCTGTGTACCTTATGTTTTTTCTCGAGGTACTCCAACTGACTTCGGAACGACTTAACTTTACTCAAAATCCTACTTCGTTATACGTATTGATTTATTAGATGTCCCACCCACTGAATCTATATGTATAAAGTATATACCGTTAATTGAATTTCACAACTACCAAATATTCGACTTAGGCAGGCAATGACAATGAGATTTATGCAGGACATATATCCTGAATCGTAGGCGGTAGTCACCAATTGAAAATAATTATAATATCTTGAGTAATTTTTAAAATTAGTTGACAAACCTGCGTCTAAAATTCGTTGTTTTACTGAGTGTTGCCTTCCGTGCCAGAATTGCCATGCTTTGATTTCATCTTCAGGACTTTTTTCTTCCCGGAACATTAACATGACGACACTCTGGAATGAAACAAAAAAGTTATAGCTACTTACGTTGAAGAAATAGGAAGATTGGATTGTTCAACTTTCCTGAATCAACGGATTGGTATAGCTAATTGGAGTACCTTAATATTATCTGTTTTGTGTAGGCTTTGTTACTAACCATAGGAGCAGCATTCGTAATTGGAATATAACAGTAAATCGTACGATCTATACGAAATCAAGAATTTATAACTATAGCATTATGAATTATATCACAGATTAACAAAACTTTGTTAATCTGTGATGAGGCCTGTCCACAGCCCTTATCAAAAGATTCACAGGGTGATCCCTGAAAGCGTGACAAACCACAAATTATTTCTTTTAATGGAACAGCCTGTTTTTATATTTTTTTCGGAATCTGTGATTTTTTGTGATCACGGAAATATAAAGTGTGTGCGGTTTCGAACCGCAACACGCTCCAAACTTGAAACCAGTCGACCAAACTTCAAAAGCAAAAATTCCATAATATATTAATCAACGAGCTCTCTTCGAAAATGAGAAACAAACCCTGAATATTCAGATTTTCAAGGTCTACTTTTGTTTGTTGAAGGGGTCGACATTTCAAAAACGACTATTAGGCAATTTTTTTTTCCAAACAGTGACTAGCCTAGTCGATTAATAGGCATAGCTGAAACACCTGCATACAAAATTTGAACGCAAAATGTCATATATAGGTTAACGAATGGCAAATTTTGTTATGTTTGATTTTTCGATTCACCCTGTATTAAAATCTAAGGAGTTGATACAAGCGGTGAAGTAGTAATTGAGGAAAACATCGAATAATTAGATACGAAGTTTCATCGTTGTAACTTCTCTGTAGGTCAACCAAAAATTAATGAAATTAAAGTTGAGATTTTTTTCATTATGATCCAAATATTTTTTCCTGGAAATATAAAAAATTGTAGCTTATTCGAGGGAACATTCTCTATACATAACAATTTCCATTGTAATCTAGGATTTTCATTCAATTTCGCCAAAGTCGATATATATTATTATGATCACATGCAGTCTTTGGAGTGTGTTTGTCTGTCATTATTTTTGGGTTATATTCGACATCTCTTCAGTGTGTAAAAAACGGTTTACTTGAGTTTTCAAAATGGTGAACCTCAACTTTTAGTTTGATTGATTTTGGTTGACCTATAGACATCTTCCTGTAGAAGTTACAAGGATGAAACTTCATTTCTATGTATTCGATGTGTTCCTCCATTGAATCACTACTTCACCGGATATATCAATTCCTTAGATTTTGATACAAGGTCAATCGAAATATCAAAAATGTAAAAATTTGCCATTGAATAACTAACACCCCATATGAAATTTGCATACAAATGTGAATATTTCTGCTATGCCTGAACCGAATTGGCTAATCACTGTTTCGAAAAGAAAAATAAATTGCCTGATAGTCGTTTTCGTAATTTTGGCCTCATCAACAGTCAAAAGTAGGCCTTGAAAATCTGAATATAAAAATATATACATTGAAAATAGAAGATATCACCTTGTATGTATATATATATATTTTAGGGATCATCCTGTAAAACTTATCGTAAGGGCTGTGAAAAGGCCTCATTGTGGCATTCTACTTCTACGTATCGTTTTTTTTCCTCGATGAAAAAATAACGAAAAAACGTCGATATGGGTGTGGGCCTTTTGTCTTTTCGATGGATAACCCTGTAGATTATAATATGCTGGAACAATTTGGATTTTCTTCGTGAATGTATGTACATTTGGTTGTTCTGGAAAGACACTAATTGGTATAAGAAATACAGGGTCAATTAATTCATATTGTCAAGGTTGCCATAACTGAAATAATTCATAATATATTTGTTCAGAGAAATCATAACATTAACTTTAATAAGCCTTATATGTTATATGTATTCATAATACCAAACAATTATAGCGATTGGTTTTAATTATGCCTTTTAGTCAGAAATTCTCTCCAAGGAAACAACTTTTTTCAAAGCGATTTTTCTGAACGATCGAATTTTATTGGTTTCATATTTTCAACAAAAACTGGATCAACGGATCAGCCACCATTTTCAATGAATATTTTGTATATTGTTGATAATGCATTTTTTTCTATAGGTATACCTGCTAACTTTCACTGTTTATGTATGCATGCCTATACCGGGTATACCAGTAACATATACCTATTTCAATAAAAATACTCATTCATCTCAGAAAATGAACATTTTAGATTCTCAAGATTCCGATAACACACAAGGATCTTTAATTTGACTATATAGAGAAGACTCTTCAACTTCCATGTTTCAAATGACTCTGTACTAGGGCTGCGCAAAAATATCGATATATCGATATATATCGATAAATATCGATATATCGAATAACGATACCATAGAAAGAAAATATCGATATATCGATATGTATCGATATATCGATATGTATCGATATATCGATATATATCGATATATATCGATATATCGATATTTATCGATATGTATCGATATATCGATATGAATCGATATGTATCGATTTATATCGATATATCGATATTTATCGATATTTATCGATATGTATCGATATATCGATATTTATCGATACATATCGATATATATCGATATATCGATACATATCGATACGATACAATATACAACAAACAAACCATTGGTATCATTATTGTGTAAATCTTCCAATGAATGTATTTGCACGGTTTTTTCCATTATCTCATGATTGTGTGTGACTGTGTAGTGTGTGTGTACTTGTGTAGTGTACTGTGTACACTCTGTCTGTACACCTGAGGTGTACGGTGTACACTGCGTGTATTGTGTATATCGATAAATAGGTACATATTGTTATATCGATATATATCGATCTGCATATCAATATATCGATATATATCGATACATATCGATATATATCGATACATATCGATATATATCGATACATATTGATATATATCGCTACATATCGATATATCGATACATATCGATATATAGATACATATAGATATATCGATATATATCGATACATATCGATATATCGATACATATCGATATATAGATACATATAGATATATCGATATATATCGATACATATCGATATATATCGATACATATCGATATATCGATACATATCGATACATATCGATACATATCGATATATTGATATATCGATATATCGATATATCGATAGATATCGATACCAAAGCGTGCATCGATATCGATATCCAGTTTTCAATATCGCACAGCCCTACTCTGTACATTCTATTTCAGTTTTCGAAATCTACTCAGAATTAATTTTTCACATTATATTTTATACCGGGTGTCCCAGATCTTTTCATACAGCCGATATCTCAGTAATACTGCTTGGAAAAAAATTGAAACAAGAAATTCAAAAAACCCAAATGACTTTGGAGCCGTTGTGTCAAAGTCAACTCCTGTCAAACTACCCCTGAAAAACCTCCCCCAACTTCATTTTTCATATTACACCCTATACATTTTTTTGTTGATTCGTATGCAATCAATTCGGACTTTAACGATGTATCACACTTGTTAATTTGACAGATGTCCAATTGACAGAATGTATGTACAGTCGCCTTCAGAGAACATGTCGCACATGGACGGTGTCAGCGACATGTTCACTGAAGACGAGTGTACCTACAAACTGACTGAAAGCCGCGAGCACGAACAACTGTACAAAAGTGACTGAGAGACACGTGCACGAAAAACTGTAAAAAAATCATGAGAAATGTTCTACACCTGATACTGTTCATCCGAATGTTGTAATTGATATCAAAATATCAAGTGTGAATCATCGTTGAAGTAAGAATTCACTAATGAACAAAAAAATTTATAGGGTGTAACTTAAAAGAATGAAGTTGGGGTGGTTTTTCAGAGGTAGTTTGACAGAAGTTGACTGACACAATGGCTTCAAAGTCAAAACTTTTTTTCCAAGCAGCATAACTGATATATCGGATATATGAGAAGATCTGGGACAACCGGTATATTAGTACGAACGCGCTGAATGGACATAACGATTGTATTTCAACCATGCAAATATGCTGATTGTAAGATCGAGCTAGCAATTTGGGCTTGATTGCAACATCATATTCAAATGTCACGCGAAACATTTCATCAAAAAGTCAAATGTCCGTTTTCCTATCGTCGGATTCAAATACTAAAAATAGTCCACTCCGGAAACCGAAAGCGATGATTTCCAATTTTTATTTTGTTCAAATGAAAGATCTTTGCGTTTATGTCGAATCTTCTCAAATGAATGAGGTACTTCATTGGGACACCCGGTATAAAAATAAACTGCATAAGAGGAAATTCCTATCGGAAATTTCGAAATTGTCATGATTCAAAATGAAATAGTATTGAATTATTCTCTGAACAAATTTCCATATTATGTCCGTTTAAAATTTATAAACAAGAAGCAGTTTGTTATTGGCGATACCTCGCCCATTTGTCAGCCATATAAGGTCAAGAGCCATTTGTAGAAAAAGAAGATATGCTGAGGAGAAACCGAATACAGTTCAGAAAATAATACTTCGCGTTTCATTGAATAACGCACGTTTGCAGATACATATTTCATTGTGAACAGTACCGGACTAGTGACAGAATGACCCTGTAGTCTGTTTTTACATGAATTTGTTCCATGTATAATTGAAATCATTTGATGTAAAATGTAAAATGGATCAACATTCGAATTATTTATTGGACAGGCCTATATATACACCTATATCTCATCACAATATATCAAATAGAGACATTTTCTAAAAAAAAAGAAAAATGGTGTTGTTCCAATTATTGTGAATACATAAAAGGAAGGATAAGGATACTTTTTATACCTGCTGACCGTATAGTGTTCACAAAAACGTGTAAAAAATGGATTATCATCACATATGATGTGGTTGACACCGTCAAATTAACACCACATGATAGGAGAGTGGACTTTTTTTTATTTCTTGAATAGAATCATCACTCAAATACCTTTCAATTCCATTTTTTTTTTTTAATATT